GCTCAAAGTTTTAAAAAAAGTTAAATCTGCAGGGGGGTATAAATATTAAATTTGGGGGGTATGAAAATTGGGTCCCATAAAAAAATATTGTAATTTTGTAAGTTTTTAACTAAATATGTTTTTTAAAAGTTTATTATAACTTTTTATCTTCAGCAAAACTCTTTCTAACAATCTCTTAATCAACAACAAATTAGCTGAACTACAGTAAATAATATAGAAAGTAGACTAAATAGACATAACAATATTCTTGGTTTTGTAAAAACAAACTTGTTAATAATGAAGCCTACAATATATGAAATACTGAAAAGTGGATGTATAAGAATATTAGGCAGGTTTGTGTCTTGGGTCAAGTTTTTTCTATTCAACAGACTCCCTAGCATATTTGGTATTCAAATCAGAAGATTTATTCAGAAAACAAGTAGAGCAAGAGTCTATAGGCAAGAATATTGAGTAGATACTAGAAAACTAGACTATATGATTATAAAACTTACAAGAAAAACCTCATATATTTTCATTAACCCTCTACTTTTTTTAGAAAAAAAATTTTATAAAAAAGTGAATGGTTTAACTTATCTCTTCCAAAAGATCAACATATTGTTTACTTATCAAATCGGTCAGCATTGTTTACTTTTTACTTGTTACAACAAACATATAGATATATATAAAATATAGACATATAAATTACGTGCCTCAGAAGTGGCAACCCAAACAAATAATGTTTTGAGACCATTAGTATAAATTTCTGATTCTCTATAGTGCCAATGTTGAAGAAGCTGATGTTTTTACCTTTTAAGAGTTTTTTTACTTAGATATACTAATTATATAAAGTAGAGTAGAAACTAGTTTAGATAGTAGTATATAATTTTTATAAAGCTTAACATAGGCTTATAATTGTAACTGTCTAGTATAAATGAAAAATCTTATATTTTCTTTTTTTCATTTCTTCTCTTACCTCTTTCTTTTCTTGTTTGTATCTTTTATCATACTCCCCTATACCTCTGTGTTTTTTTTATAAAATATGTTTTTTTTCTTTTACTTCTCTATAAAAAGATATCATCAGATTGGTAATATTCTATTGTAGAGCAGTAGTCAGATGAACCCTCAGTAGGTATTATTTTAATTGATTGTATCTTACTGATATAACAGGTCACCTATTAGTGTTCTGGTAACTATTAGTTAGTTATGAAGTGACCGTAGGATTAGGGTGTTTGGCACACAAAAAAAATTTTGGCATGTCACAGGCATGCTTTTTGTCAAAATTGTGTCATAACATGCTTTTTGGCATGCTATAAAATATTGTATTATAATAATCATAATACTATAAGTCTAATATATAGTATAGATACTATAAATATAGTTTTTATACTATATCTAGTAGCATGGCAAAAACAAATTTGGCATGTCACTAGCATACCACTATAGCATGCCTTTGCCACTATGCCAAACACCTTATGTAGGATGTTAGAATCAAAGCTTTATTTCTTATATTCTTTATGGAGTGATAGCTTAAATAAATGGGATTCACTGACATAACTGCCTAAGTGGAAAAATGTATATATATATATATATAGTCAGACCTCTCTAAATTTACATCATTGGGACCAGCTTTAGAGCATACATTTAGAGAAGATAACAATTAAAGAACACTAATAAAATTACTATGTGACTATTATCACATGATAAATGTGTCTTTAATTGCCTAGAATAATGAATTTGATTGGTTAATAATCACATGGATGCATTTATAAAGAGAGTTTTTATAAGTGGGCCAGACAATTAATATGCACTTACAAAATAAAGAATGTACATTTAACTATAAGTTCCACCATGGGCCCGGGCTTATATCACACATTTAGAAGGGTGCTGCATTTAGGAGGTGCATTTAGGGAGGTCTGACTGTATAACCTTTTATCTTCAACAAACTTGAGTTTTCTTTTCTACTTACTGTTTTTAGAAATTCCTTCAATTAGATACTAAGCACAAAATAGAATCTATTTGAAGAAAGAAGCAGAAAGGCTTGACTTCTTTACAAATTGTCCAAAACATTTACATCCCAATGTATCATGTTTAAGAACTTTATTAACAACAGTTTATATCAAGAAAACTTCAAGTTGCTATTAATTTCTGGCCTTGAATCTTCAACTTGCTTTTGGTAATAGTTGATACAAGTAATTATTAGAAAGAGTTTGGTTAAAATTAAACTTTAAACCTTTATTCTTATTCTAATGATAAAAAGATTTAATATTTGTTTTAATAAAAACTATTTTATTTATATATTATACAAAATTAATAATCGTGTATATATACAAACACGTGTAATTTTAAAAAGAATTTTACTAAAACGCACTTATGGTGTCTTACAACTATGTATGCATTATCTCAAAAACTGGCTAATTAATCGGTATAAGATGTTCTAAGTAAAAATGTTCTACGCCCCAAAAAACCCTTTCCAAACCCTAATCCTAACCTTAATATTAACTTTAACGTGAAAAAATTGGTGTTAAAAATTTTATATACAAAACTTAGAAAATTTTAATAAACATAATAAAAACATATAATAGGTGCAAAACCACCATAGGTGCGTTTTATAATAATTGTATTTTTTTAGTCTATAAATTTTTGTATTTTTGTTCAAGTTACATGAATTTTTGGTGCTCGATATATTTATCGAACTTTTTGGGTGGCGATTTACCCCGGTTAACGGATTCAAGTGAAATGTAGAGGTTAGAGATGCGACTCTCGAAGGCCTCAAAGGAATATATACGCAAAGAAGATGAACCACCGTCTCTTGAGAAAGATGAAGCAGTATTAAAATCCATAAGTGGAGATAAAGAAAGATGTTCACCTCAGAATGATAAAGATTTCTGTAAAATGCTCCGGATATTCGTATCGAAGGGTATCTCCAAATTTATTGTAGTCATTGAGACTCCCTTAAAAGCTTTCTCAGATTGGACGTTTCCAAAAGTATGATCTTGATGGAGAGACGGAGGATCCAACAATGGCAGTCTTCCCAGTTTTTTCATGCGGAACCCCAGGAATCGTTGGAAGGGCTCATGGCAGAATTAAAATCCCGCCTTGACAACAACCCATCAATTTACTTTCAATCAAAGCCATGAAATCATCATATGTCTATTCTTACCTGTTTGCTGGAGCAAATAATTTCAAGAGGAAGTTATTTCTGGACCGAATCTCTCGATTTCGCGATTGACTTACGCCAAACAGCAAAACGATTGGGGTCACGGAGGTAAAAAATAAATGAATTTGTGAAAGGCGTTGCTCAATGTGCGGTCCAGCTTGAGTCTTCTTTATCTAATCGTAAGCATAAGGCCAATGAAATTGAGGAGGATCGGACGTTCGGAAGAGTTTTTGTCACTGATGCCGAAAAATTCTATTTTATGGTATGTTCGATGGATGATCAAGGCAGGCCGCGGAACCGGTGGTCGTTGTATATAAAGACGAAAATTTGCAAACTAAGGTGGAGGAGGTGCAGAAGCCTGACTCTTTTTCACAAAACGGGAAGGAATCGAGAAAAAAGAATTAGAAATAGAAATAGATACGTCTCATAGCATAGAAAAAATCGTCATGTATCATGGGTGCAGTCCCGATCTTTGTACTTATTTTTTGCATGTATTAAAAAATAAAAAAATTTTTTTAACTTAAATTCCAATATTTAGTATTTTAATTAATATACAGTATAATAAAAAAAAATAAAATTCCACATAGCGATAGTTAACATTAATACACTGGCGATCATAAGTAGTGCAACAAAAAAAAATTTTACTTAGATCGCATTATTTCCCGCAATTCTGGGTGTATCCTTTTATTTTTTTTTTATTTTACTCACTAATAGTA